TTAGGTATAGAAGGCTTTTATATTCCGCTTTAAGTTGTCTTCAACCCCCAAAAAAACTTACGTAGTAGCAAAACTCTAATAAAAATCTCAATTTTAACAACCAGGTATATACATGTAGTATTCAGTAACGATTAGATGTCTTTCCATTTTACTGCAAATAGGTCGATTGCAACCCGACTCAGTTCTACCACAGACAAAGAAATGACCCACTGGGGAATTCGGATCACAATCAAACGACGTGAATAAGAATAAATTGTGTTCTGTTTCTATTGGCGGGAAACAAAATGACCTTCATCACGTCAGTCTCAAAAGAGCGAATTATGTAATTGCAGTTAAGAAGAAGCAATGTTTAAGGGGGGGGGGGGGGGGGGGGGTCACACAAGCGAGCTAACTTCTTTATTTCTGGACCTAGAAACCTTAAATTTGGCATACAGCTTCGTCATGATACAGGTATTACGATGGAAAAAAAATTCACAGATCCAAGATGGCCGCCATATTGGATTTTCACATCATGTTTTCAAATCAATACTTCTCTGAAATTTACAGATGGATTTTATTGTCCTTTGGCTCACATGTACCCAAGAGGCATATAAGTTAAATCTAGTCAGTTTCTTTCGATATCTTATTTCGTTTCGGATTTACAGGAAGAAGCGTGCAAATTTTGTCCAAAATGCAGAAAACGGTCAATTTTACAAATATTTTAAATCATAAAATGAAAAACAAGATAGATATAAAAAAACACTGACAATACAATGTAACCACTCCTAAGGGCAACAAGTATGCCAAGTGCCATCAAGATACACCTGTAATATTCAGAGGAGTATAGAAAAATGTGTCAAAAATTAGAAAATCAAACATTTTTGACAAAAAATGAGATACCTCTCTAATTAGTGAAGATAGAATAACAATGTCGAAGAAAAAATGTTGGGCATCCAAATAGCTACGATTGTGCCAAAGGACAATCAAATCAACAGAGAAATGACTGAGAAAAGGCAAAAAATATTGTAATACCCAATTTGACCCAGATTGACCAAATATAGGTGGGAACCCCCCTCCCCCCCCCTTAATATGTGAACTTTCAAATGACAAGTAAGTCAGAACGGTCTGTAAAAGTAATTGCGAAAGTCACAATGAGGCACTCCTCGATGACATTAAATTTCATCGAACGAAGTCGTGCTACATTTTGAACTGAAATGAATGTAAGTATTGTAAGCAATGTTTCTTACCTATTGAAAGGGTTTTTTGTATTCAGAGCGGGTTCGCCAAACTCCAGAGGCGATATTTTTGTTGTTTGGTATTGTATGATTATGCGTCTAACTTCCTTATAAACCCAGTTGGGCCGTCAAAGTCTCGAGTTATGTGTTTAGGGTTATAATCATTTTCAAAACCAAATTGCGACATTTTCCAAAAGCTGCCATTCAAAGATTAATTTTTTAAAACAACTTAAAAAGTGACACAAACATGGTGTGTTCAATAAACATACAAGCCATATGTTGTATGACTGTTGCCTATTCTCTGGCAAGGGTAGGATACTTTACACTCTAACAGTCTTCAGTTAGAAGCGGCCACACTGTGATTTTTTTGGAACATACGGTCGGTGACACAAAATAGCTCCAAAATCTGGTCTCTCTACGCGATGTGAGTGGGGGAGGGATATGTACTCCCAGCATCCCACTTCCAGATCCACCTACAGACAACCCCCCCCCCCCACAAAAATTCGATAAAAATTACCAAACTGACAGAAAAATGCCTGTAACTTTGATTTCCTTATTTTGGCAAGCGCCTGATTTCACCACGATGCCTCACATTAGCCTCTGGCCGTCCAGATCTGGTCACTTGCAATTGCGACTTACTTGTCAGTCATAATAGTCATCACCACAAAAGTCTTTTGAAAAACCCCATAATATCCTTTTCTCGGCTGTCGGTGCTGTCGCGTCTAGTCACTTTTTGTATGAACTAATTTGTCAATAATAATTTTCACAATTATTGCAAAACTCTTATTTAGTTTTAGTAAGAGTTTTACGGCAATTGCAATACAATAAGGTCACATAAGTGCCGAAGATTAGATATGTTACAAGAGAGTAATGAACACAAAAAAGGAGAAGCAGAGAGAGGGACGATAGTTCTTGCTAGTTAATAAGGAGAAGGAGAGAGAAGGACGATAGTTCTTGATAGTTAATAAGGAGCAAACCCCACCACAGCACCCGCCAACCATCCACACGAAATTCTTTGGTCTGAACGACACCGCAAAATAAGCAATACATCCACTCACACACATTTATTGTAAGAGCCACATTTTAGAGCTTAATGCCATGCTCCGTTTTGTATCGCATTTCCGGCAACTAAACTAGTACCAAACAGTCACCACTTACGAGTCTATTAAAATTTGGCAGTGTAATCATTTTGTATACCAATGTTTTTTGTAATCCAATATACTACATAAATACACACTATGTTGATTTTGGAGATTTGCTTGCGAAGTTTGCGTTTCTCTTAGTTTTGTTTGAAATGTTAAAAATCTTTAAATTTTCCGAAAATACATTCTGGTCTTCTCCCTATTTTAAAAGAAATGAAACCCCTGTGGTCGAATCTTATTCGTTACAAATTAGCACAAAAGTGATATTTAGTCCTTTCATTGAGTTTACTGAGTCCCCCCCCCCCTCCCCCCATAAGTTTTGTTTTGTTTTACACCAGCTACTATATTCTAAGAACTGCGCGATTGGCTATCATAAAAGGTCGTCAGCCCAAAAGGATGCTGAAACTTTTAAGAATGTAAGACACAAGTCGTGATGATTGTTTATTCGTATTATAGCAAAATGTGACCGTTACGATGACTTGAAATCAGTCATTGAATGAATCTACAGGCCGTAGAGTGGCGTGTGCAAGTCCAGTGCAATAACTACTTACAAGTATATCAAGCTCAGAACGAACTCGAATTCCTGAAGCTGGCTGTTCGAGACTCTACGTCATGTTTCATCTGGCAGTATCGCCCGACAGACGTAGATATCATCAGCTGTGACAGTCCTTGGTGGATTAAGTGAGTTGTTGTTGATTTGAATTTTCTTCTTCATCTGTTCATCTTGTCTCACTGCCTTTGCGTCAGCATAATAGAGACTTATCATTACCTTTGTATTAACAGCATAGAGACTGATCACTATCTTTGTATTCACAGAATATAGATTAATCATTACCTAAAAGAAAAATCACTGTCTTTGTATTAAAGGTGTAGAGACCTATCAGTATTTTGTATTAACAGTACAGAGAAAGATCGTTATCTAGTCTGATAGCAGTCTTTGTAAGAGATTCATCGCTGTCTTTGTATCATATACATTATACGAGATTTATCACTTGTTTTTGTATCATATACGTTATAAGGGATTTATCACTTGTCTTTGTTTCAAATGCATTATAATAGATTGATCACTTGCTTTTGTATCAAATACATTATAATAGATTTATCACTTGTCTTTGTATCAAATACATTATAATTGATTTATCACTTGTCTTTGTATCAAATACATTATAAATTATAAGAGATTTATTACTTGTCTTTTATCAAATACGTTATAAAAGATTTATAACTTGTCTCTGTATCAAATATATGATAATAGATTTATCACTTGTCTTTTATCAAATACGTTATAAAAGATTTATAACTTGTCTCTGTGTCGCATGATAATAGATTTATCACTTGTCTTTTTATCAGCGGTGGTGACGACATTGTGAACAAATGCAACGTGAGTGGTCAGTGGACGGAGAGGGACACCGACGTGGAGGAGGCGTGTGCTAACCTGGAAGCCCTGCCAATGTATCGAGTTATTGATTACCGAAAAGGCCTGAAGACCGAAAGGGCAGGCTTGTACAAGAACGTCTTTTGTGCCCTATGTAACAGAGTGAGTTGCCTTACGTTTTCACTTTCTGAACCAGATCGAAAAAAAAAGAATATTACTGAACCTATTAAAATTTGATGATGACGACGCACACACGCAATTACATTGACTGTTCTATAATAATGATAATAATAAAACTACTACTACTACTACTAGTACTACTACTACTACTACTACTACTACTACTACTACTACTACTACTACTACTACTTCTACTACTGTACGCACATATTACATTTCTGTTGCTTGTATTTTATTTTCACTTTCTTTAGTGATTGTCCAGCATTCACAGCCCTAAACTTCTCTTTACACCCTCCCCTTCCCTTTATCGAAATTCCCGTTCTCTCCAGCCTTCTTACCCAATGACGGAAGGGTGTCGTCCGAGTCCTGGTCTCCCCGTGGTCCCGCCTTTTGACCTACCATTCACCATGCTGCTTGGACTTCGGCCTCAAATGACGTCAAACCAGAACAAAAATACAGTTGTACGCCTTTGTTCGGAAGAAGAATGGCTCAGCCCAGATGTAATTAACCTTCATTGTGAAAACCCAGAGACATTATATTATATTATATTATATTATATTATATTATATTATATTATATTATATTATATTATAATATATTATATTATATTATATTATATTATATTATATTATATTATATTATATTATATTACATTATATTATATTATATAATATTATATTATATTATATTATATTATATTATATTATATTATATTATATTATATTATATTATATTATATTAAATTATCTATCTATCTATGTATCTATGTATCTATGTATCTATCTATCTATCTATCTATCTATCTATCTATCTATCTATCTATCTATCTATCTGTTTCACATATCTATCTAATTATATAATATATATACCCCTCCCCCCGAAAAAAAAACCCGAACAAGAACACAAAAAACCCAACAACAAACGAAAAAAACAAACAAAAAAAACAACAACAATCGAACCAGCTCTACTAACGGCCACCTGTTTAAGACTATCACACGTACAAACGGCTACTTCCCATTCACCCCCCACCCCCTTGTTTTAGTTTTTTTTAAACATTAAAATGGCATTGCGTAGGAAGGCCCCCCTGTCTAAACTGGCCACTTTCCTTCCCAACAATGGGTGGCCGTCAAAGACAACCTCTACTGTAAATTCCCTTTTTGTTCGTAAAGCTGTATCGGGAATTTCCCCCCCCCAAAAAAAAAACAAAAAAACAAAAAAAAATTTTTTTAAGATTTAAAAAAAAAGATAATAATAATAATTTTTAAAAAATATATAAAAAATAAAAAATAAATAAAATAAATAAATTAGTAAATAAACAAATAAATTAAATAGATAAAATAAAAATAAAATAAAGCCGTCTCGGACAGTAGAACCAAACATCACTGAGGGCAGTTAATGTGGCTATTACTTTGGGGGAGGGCAGGGATTCCGATCCTGTGATTCGTCTAACCGCCCGTCCGTTGCGACTGGTGTTCGTCCCTGTCAGCTGGCGAAAATTAGCCAGTAACTGACGGCCTGACGATAATCTATACATATTATATTTGTGAAAGTTCGTCACTGTGGCCGCCAGAACTTCCGAACCACTTAACTTTCGAATTTGAAAAATATTAATGGTGGTTCAGAATCATTTAAAAGGTGCACAGTTTTATTGAGGAGCCTGAAGTCAATGTAGTTTAATTTTCAGTTTTTCCTTAGTTTCGTTTAGATTTAATCTTGGGAAAGTCCGTCTTCTAAGAAGCCAGTGCAAACAGGTGAGGTTTTCGTGCGCATTGATTCCACGCTTTCGAAATCCGGGACTGTACAACCTCGAAAGTTTAATAGAGAATCAATCTATACATCTCTATAATATCTAGACCTTCTAACTTTTTGCATCTCTCAAGATTTATTGCTCCATTCTAGTAGAGTGTAAATATAGTAGGCCAATGACTTTCAGTTAAAGGTAATGCACCGATCATTCCTTTCATCGAAAGGGGGCCCAGCTAGTAATATTATAAAGCTCATTCTACCCTAACACATTGGTTTGCTCATCCTCTTACTTGTGCTCTTGTTGAAGACGCGTAAACCTTAAGTAAAACAATTGAACTGCGACATAGCAGTTTCGCAACCCTGGTGCAATGCTGAATGAAACCATTTAAGTTCCAGAACACCCCCTGCTTTAATAACTTTACAGACATAAAACAAATCTATTGGTCACAACGACTGTAGCATCATTCGTCTGGGAAAAAAACCCACACACTCCTCAGGCCTCATATTTAAAATTTAAAAAGTTATTTAATATTCCTAAGAACATGATGGGGCGCATTTTCATGATTTTGAATTTGAGAATTCATACCATTACTAGTTTCGATCGCTATGTATTGTTATTGTATACTTTATAATCAAGCTGTTGGTTTTCCCTGTCCACTTTTTGCAGGTCAATATTAATAGTAGTATTATATATTTAGATTGAGGATACTGTTATTTTTTAAATAGTATTATGTCAAGGCCTTTTTTTCTACCATATAAAATCATTCATCTAATAAAAGACAGACAAGAAAACCTGATCGAGTAACTTTTTCCCTATAATTGTCATGTTTGCATTTCAAAGCGTGGTGAGATAAGACGCTCCGACCACAGGTACCAACATTTCGAGGAGTGATTCAGATCCAACCATGTCCTCGATAACACCTCTCTGATCTATCACGTACATGAAGTGACAGACAGGTAGAGAGCTACAAGTCATCTCTGAGGCTAATCTTGCTCTGTGAATGCATTCATCCAGGCGCACGGCTTTTTAGACCTTTTTTTTTTTTATTTGACAGTGCCAAATCACTATTGTTTAACAAAAACATGTGTGTTTTTTTTCTCTCTCAGTGCATTTTCTTTCAAAACCATGGTTGCTCCAACGTTGTGCATGCAAGATACCTCAGGCTAGAAAATAATACTGTAACAAACCCATTAACATGGAAGAAGACGGAATTCTTTTCAGGACATACAATATTTTACAAAATTCTTGTACCAGTCCATTATATAAAGAGTGAACCATCTTGTAGCGCGTATTTTGTGAAAAAAATGTTGCAGAGTCAGTACCAAGGCAACGTTGTTGAAACTTTACGACCATGTGTTAATGATTTATTGCTTGTGCAGTTGACTTGACTGTGAGGCAGCGTGGTGGAATCAGGCTCTCGTCAAAATAATCAAAATGAAGAAACTTGCATTTTTCCTCAGGTTTGTGAATTTTTATCAAATTTTTGTTTTTTGGCTCAACGCCTTTCACGCCCATTCAAGAACTCATTTCTGTGTGGATTTTTTGAAAAGCTTTGATTAAAGGCACAAAAATGTAAATTTTCTGTTACAACGGACTCTTAAGCTAAGGAAATAGCTAATCTTTTTCTCACTAATTTTACCTCTGAAAACAGGTGACCCCTACCTCCTTCTTTCGAAAATATCTCGACTTGTATCCAAGATAAATGGATATTTTTTCATTAAAAAAAAAGAAAAACAAATAAGCTTTAAGATGATATTTCACATGCCCAAAATTGACGAGAGCCTAATTCCACCATGCTGCCTCACAATACAAAATGATACTCGTACTTCTTTTAACTATTGCAATGTATGATATTGTGGATCGAATCTATCACTGTAACAGAAACGTCCACGAATGACCCTAATAATTAGCAGTTTCCTCTCTTCCCCGTCTCTATTACACACTATTCTGCATTATGTGTGCACCGTCATATTATTGTGATGTGTTTATCCTTCACGACAACAGGGTCTCTGTATGCCAGTGGAATGCTCCGCGGGTAAGACGTTAACAGAGAATGGCACGTGTGTGACGGCTGTATCGCAAGTTCGTGGTTTGGCGTACAGCGTGCGCCTGTGGCTTCTGCCTGCGGGGGAAATTGACGTCAAGATGAACCAGGCTCTATTGAATCCCAGTTCTTCCGACACCTCCTCTCCAGGACTGACGCTGATACAAAATGTAAGATAGAAGCTGAAATATCTCGACAATTAGCATTACAGTCTGTAGAATAAAACCTAATACTATAAATCTTGTTACATAAAAAGTAAGTCGTTTTCGGATGAAAACTTGAAGAAATGACTACGTATTCCAAATCTTCCGAACAAGAGATATTCACTCAAATCCAGTACCTATAGCCATGCTATCAAATAGCACATTTTATTACAGTATTTTCTTTGTAATACGTAAATTTCTGTACTAAGAGTTCGTTCACAAGAGCTTACTTTGATAATAAATTATTATGTCTTTTACTTCCTTTGATAATTTGTAAAAATGTTACTAATTAGATCTTGCATTTTTAATTCTTATTGACGTTTAAATTTATATTGGCTCGCAATTTTCTGAGTATCCAAATCTAGTTTGTCTTCTTGTTTCGATACTGGTTTCTTTTGAGTGAAATGCCGCAGGCTTTTCTGTATGTCTATATGTTTTTCTTTCCTCAAACGTTTTCTGTACTACAAACTGATCCCTCAAAAGGACACCAATTCATTTATTGTTATCTTGAGGGGCTCTTTTACAATGACTAGCAAGTGCTACCACAAGCCTCTTTTTTGTTCTTGCTTATAATATACATAATTATATTATGTTCCTGGCCTTTTAGACTAAGAAAAGTCACTGCAAAGTGTGACATTTAGAGCAGAGATTAAAGCAAGGAAGGTGGAAACGGTAAGGGCATTAGGAGTTTTGTAAAGGGATTCCCTTGATTGTAGTCTGTTTATTGATTTGATTAAAATGTCCACAGTATATTTAATCATGTCAGTATATTTGGATGTAACATTAAGCAACATTTTATATTGGACGAAGTGTTAAGAGTGATTTCCTGCCAGAAGGAGATTACTTCGTTTATTATTTCGAGGGTTAATGAAATAAATTACGCCGAATGGGATAGGATAGGGCACGATTTCATTAATTGTATCGAACTCACACTATTAATTTCCTTTCGATTCAGGTTGAGACAATACTGAAGGCAATGCCCATGGTACACGGGTATGAGATTACAAGCGGTGTTGCCCTGTGTGAGGGGAACAGAACATTGTTTTCTGGTAACACTTCAAGCCCACTTGCTACGATCAGTAAATGCTCTTCATCAGCAACTACGCCAACGTCGCTTTCGGACGACGGCCACGTTTCACCGGCACCCTCTGAGGAACATCTTATCAGCCACAGCATATCCAGCGAGTTGCCAGTCGCACTGTGGTTAGATATTAATTTCATGGCGAACAGAGACAGGAGAAGGGATGAATTTGAAATTGATGCTGTGAGTACTATATTTGGAGAGGAGTTTAAGAAAGAGGTAAGTGACAATTTCAACCATACTCCTCTTATAGTGCATGGTGAAATATCTCCTTGGTCACATTGCTTCAACAAAGTTCCTTATATGTGCGAGACGGGTTGGTTTATAAGCTTAAACGCTTTCCTTTCCTTAAAGTTGTACCCTGAGAAGGAAAGTTACGTGAAATTATCTCCTTTGCTCACTTGTCCTTTTGTTCGACTCAACCAAACGCAGTTCTCAGTCAAATCCTACGTCGTTCCTGGTAACATACAACCGAGTGTGGCAGTCGAAGTGACATTCGGAACCTTTAGCGAGACGTTTACCAAACCCTCAGACCTGTACAAAATAACTGTCACAGACAACAAAGAACTTCGCATCTGTCAGGACTTGCTCTCCAGTAGATTTCCCCGAGACCAGCTTCAAGGCGACGGTATCATGCTTTGGTCGCAGTATTTCCTCACTCTTCTGTGCTTCACTGTGTCAGTGGGCTGCCTGGTTCTTACGCTAATGACGTATGCCCTGTTCCCAGTTCTCAGGGGCAAGGCGGGAAAAAACAACATGGCACTGTGCGTGAGTTTGATGGCAGCCCAAGTCTCGCTTTTGACTTCTTCACACGTGTAAGTTCTCGGTTGATGGTGCTTATACACCTGTTCACTGCACTTTTGAAATTGTTGTTTTAAAAAAGGGACAGCGACTGCATTAGATAAAGTGTGCCACAGGACAGAGTCGGGTTGTAGTAAGATTTTTACAGCACTTGCAACACAATTTGGTCATATATAACTGCCGAAGGCTAGACGTGTTATAAGAGAGAAACAATCGCAATACAGGAGGAGGAGGAGAGATAAGGATGGTATATATTTGATAGCAAAGGAGCAAACCACAACAGAGCACCCGCCAACCACCCACAAGACAGCTAGAAACTATGACAACACGTAGGCCTTCTTCATTTGGAAAGAAAATCCTTTTCTGATACATAAAGGAATAGAACACAAAATACCTAAACATGATGGTACCGCTTACATGTATATCGTACTTATACGGAAATTAAAAGTTAAAAGAAATTGATTTAGTCTGTGGCCTGAAAAAACAGTTACTAACAGTTTCATATTTTCTCGAATCATATAGACGCGATTTACACCATAATGTACTGTGTCTATACAGGAGTCAGTGATGCGTTACACAAGATAACTTTTTGTATGGTCTCTCACTCATTCACTCACTCGCTCACTCACTCACTCACTCACTCACTCACTCACTCACTCACTCACCCACTCACTCGCTCACTCACTCACTCACTCACTCACTCACTCACTCACTCACCCACTCACTCACTCACCCACTCACTCACTCAATCACTCACTTACTCACTCACTCACTCACACACACACACACTCTCTCTCTCTTTCTCTCTCTCTCTCTCTCTCTCTCTCTCTTTCTCTATCTATCTATCTATCTATCTATCTATCTATCTATCTATCTATCCTATCTATCTATCTATCTATCTATCTATCTATCTACATCTATCTCTCTTGAACAGTATTAACAGTCTTGGGTATTTACCTGTTAGATATAACATAACCAACAATAATTTACGGTAAACTCTTTCGTCCACAGTAAAGCACCGAGTGCAGTATGTACTGGTCTGGGTATTTGTACCCACTTCTTGTGGCTTGTCACTTTCTGCTGCACCCTCGTTTGCTGTCATCACATGTACAAAGTCTTCACGGACAAGACCCGCAACTCCCTCGACTCGTCCAAGACTGAGCGACTGAGGTTTATGAAGCGATTGCTGTTTGTTCTGTTGCTTCCCTTGGCTGTAGTTCTTACTGTGGTTGTCACAACGATGATCACTACTGAAGGGAGCAGGACAGGCTATGGTGAGACGTCTTGCTACATGGACTCGACATTTCTTGTTGGTAAGTGAGAGTCTCTTTCCTCTCTCTCTCTCTCTCTCTCTCTCTCTCTCTCTCTCTCTCTCTCTCTCTCTCTCTCTCTCTCTCTCTCTCTCTCTCTCTCTCTCCCTACCTCTCTCTCTGTGCCTCTCCGTGTCTCTTTCTGCCCCCCCTCCCTTTCTCACCCTGTCTCTATCTCTCAGTGTGTCTCTCTTTCTCTGTCTCTCTCTGTCTCTCTCTCTCCCTCACTCTCTCTCAATCTCTCTCTTTCTCTGTAACACACACACACACACACACACACACACACACACACACACACACACACACACACACACACACACACACGCACAACATGCCTCACCAAGTCTGAAGAGAGGAGGATGGGCTATGGTGAGACGTCTTGTTATATGGACTCAACATTTCTTGTTTGTAAGTGAGAGTTTGTTTTTTTCTCTGTCTGTCTGTCTTTCTGTCAGTCTGTCTGTCTGCCTGTCTGTCTCTCTCTCCCACCCCTACTCTATCTCTGTTTCTCTCTGTGTGTCTTTCTTTCTCTCTCTCTCTCTCTCTCTCTCTCTCTCTCTCTCTCTCTCTCTCTCTCTCACACACACACACACACACACACACACACACACACACAACATGTCACTACGATGATCTCGTTTGAAGTGAGGAAGATGGGCTACTGTGAGGCATCTTGTTACACGGACTCTTCTTTTCTTGTTGGAAGTGTGAGTGTCTCTCCATTTCTTTGACACACTGTCATCATTCTTTTTTCTATACACATCAGCATAGTTACGAATACATTAATTAAGTTTTGAAGCTTAACAAAAAAACTTAAAAACTTGTTGATAGATAATTCACAGAACAACATTACATGAAACTATATGTGAAAGGAGTCGGGAATGAGGGATTGTGTTCTGCTCCTATTAGTACATTCTAACTCTATGGGGATCTGCTAGCATACACACCAAACGAAAGGGTGACCAGACCACAGAATTATATGTGTCGAGACATGTTGGAATCAGGCGCTCGTCGATTTTTGAGCATGTAGAGTTATTGGCATAATCTTTAAAATTGCTCCTTTCTCTTTCTTTAAATGAAAAAATCACTCATCCATTTTGAGAGGAAAAATTAGCGAGAAAAAGGCCGCCAAAGTTTGGTCATTTCCAAAACTTGAGAATCCTTTGAAACTGCAAATGTGCATTTGTTTCACCATTTATCAACATTTTCCAGTAAATTGCATACGTAAATGATTCTTAAATAGACAACATGGTATTGGGCCAAAGAAACAAAATTTAAAAAACAATTGCCCAGCAGCCATAAACGTTTTTGCATACGCGTATGGGCTACGTCACAGCTCGCCAATGACACTTTTTAGGGACAAAATTCGTACCAAAAAATGATTTTATAGTGAACACATTTCTTTGCACTAAAGGTTCACTAAACATACGTCCAATAAGCATAATATTGAGATTATTTTATTAGAGTTTAGTAAAGAATTTTCTAGAACACAGTGTGCAGTGTGCACCTCTTAACACTAATTGGTATAAGTCATTGTACAAATGTTGGAGACTATATTTTCGATAGGTAAGGAGATATTTCGCAATACGTTGCTATGGCCATTTCCGATCTAGTATATTATAATTCATATCTATGGACAAGAAAATAATACGAAAATAATGGGCATTATAGTAATAAAAGAATAATGGATAGGTAGTAAGTTCAGCTATTTCAGTCACCAATTCCTATCCAGTGCGGTGGGTAATAATCTTCTGGTTTAAGATGATACCTAAGGCCCGTGCCCGGTTTGGGAAATCCAGAATAGTAGATGACCTTTCCCCTGGTCAGCCATCCGGCCCACCAGCTGTAGGTGCCGGATGAGATGACCGCATGACTAATCCGGGCCAAGAGCCAAGTTAGAATCTTTAATTTTTATTACCCATTTTCTACAAGACTGAGCCAGCTTTGTGGACAGCAGTGGAAGCTGCCTCAACAAATAACATAAGATCTATATAGAATTGGAATTGAACTTGGGTCAACAGAATTGAAGTCTATAACGAACACACACAAACAAACAAACACACACACACACACACACACACACACACACACACACACACACACACACACACACTCACTCACATAAACGTACAAACAAGCAATCGTACACATACATCCAGTGCACAAAATAACCTGATAAAAAGCCAGGGGCACTGTAATGGCTATGAACAGAGCCAGAGCAAATGTCGACTTCCGGAAAAACTTCATAGCATTGCAATGGGAATCTCCGAACAGTGGACACGAGTGAAACTTTTAAACACCTACACTTTTTGGCTTCTCTGTAAATGACAACAAAAAGTGGAAGAATTTAGTAAAGTAGATTCCCCTACTTCTCTGGGCAACACAAGTCATATTATTGACAGGGCATTATAGTAATAAAAGAAAGACGGATAGGCAGTAAGTTCAGCTATTTCAGTCACCAATTCCTATCCAGTGCGGTGGGTAATAATCTTCTGGTTTAAGATGATACCTAAGGCTCGTGCCCGGTTTGGGAAATCCAGAATAGTAGATGACCTTTCCCTTGGTCAGCCATCCGGCCCACCAGCTGTAGGTGCCGGATGAGATGACCGCATTGCTAGTCCGGGCCAAGAGTGCGAGATGAAGCTCCGCCTTTTCGTTCTCCAAAATATGGACGTCACTTCCGTTCAGATTGGCAACGCACCAATCACGACCATTGCTGGCCACCACAAACAACACAGGTGTCGCCCGACCCAGTTCTGCCCTCATTCGGTCGAACGCTTTGAAATAATACGTCGCTTCTGGTGAAATATAGCCGGCATTGCTTTGTCCTACGAAGTCTCCACGCCTGACGTGAACGCCCACTAACGACCGATTGGGGAAGTTCTGTTGGATCTCTTTGATTAGTTTGTCCGCACGAGCTGAGACGTGTTTCTTAAAAGTGAATTCTTGTCTCAGTTCCTCTTCTTCTGTCGCGAAGTATTTCCAAGACTGGAGAAAACCGTGTAGTGTTACGTTTAGTGGAGGTAGTCGTGAAAGTTTCCGATCACAGATTCCGTAATGGGCTTCTGTAAACGACTGCCATCTGCAAAGATAACATTTGATAAAAGTGAGTTTTAAAAAGTTTTCACTTATTGTGCTGTTTTCGGTTAAAACCTAATCAAGTACCGTTAAACCTAATCTAACAGCCAACTGTCCAAAACAATCAAATTATGTACAAAGCGACCACTTCCTACTTGCCCGACCCCACCCTCCCTTACGATTTAAAAAAATGATAACGAAACTGTCAAATACATCCACTTGTCTAAGATAATCACAATTCCATCGAAAACTAGTACCCTTCATGGACAATTTTAAATTCATATGAATGAAGGTGTTATTCAGTCCTTACTATCATGCAAAACAGCAGAGATAGCGCGTTGCGAGAAGATGGTTCGCCGATTTTGGAAAGAGAGTCCTTGGAAATGGGATCAACAACACTGTATAGATGTCGCCATCGTCGATGCTACTTACGTTTTGTTTCATTTGTGAAACAGGAGTTGTTTTTAGAACAATCTCCTACCAGAAGGCGCTAAATCGTTCTCGCTGGGGGTCGTCTCTTATCTCTCTCACGATTACTTTTTATGTAGGTTATGCGTTTTTAAGCCCCCATTGATAGAATTTAGATATCGTTTTGGAGGCTGGCTTCAGACCGGGCCTATTAGGGGCACCCCGGGATGATAGTGATACATGGAGGGAGAGAGGGGGAATAAAGGGAAAGAAAGAAAGAGAGAGAGAGAGAGAGAGAGAGAGAGAGAGGTGGAGAGAAAGGGGAGAGGGAGGGGTGGAGAGGAAGGGGAGAGGGAGGGGAGAGAGGTTGAAAGGGAGGGGGAGAGGGAGTGGAGAGAGAGACACAGAGAGAGAGGG